TGGCACTGGTACAAATTCCACTCAGTGCCTTTACAACCAACATCATCCAACCAGAAGGAAGACTGTGCTGGTCCAAAGTGAGCTTTGCCTGGAGCCGACTGGGCAGGTCCACATCCAATTTGCTTACAAACGACATTTGCATCAAGGATGTCCCAACTATCATCGCAGATGGCTCCCCAGGTGTTGTTGTAATACATCTCAACTCTCCCTGAACAGGGGCCATCTCCATCCCTCAGTCGTACTGCAATCGGATCTGAAGTTAAGGAGCAGATAGAGCACAAATGTTATCCTCCAGCAAAGCATTTATTTGTTTACAGGCAACTTGAAGTCAGGAGCATTGATTAATCCTCTATTACAAGACATTCATCAAAGTCATTAAAAAAACTATGGATTTGCTCCTTAAAATACATATTTCAATCAAAGGAAGCCATCTTATTCACAACTACAGGCCCACTCCCCTTGAAATAATGGGACAGTACAACACAGCAACAGGCCCTTTGGCCCACTTTGTTTATGCTGACCGTGATGCCATTCTACACTAATTCCATCTTCCTGCACACCATTGGTATCCAGCTATTGTCTGCCTGTTTATGTATCTATCTAAATCATGACCTTAATGATTGTTGTCACATCACTGGCAGTGTTTTCCTTCGAGAAGAGGAGATTGAGTGGGGCTAGAACATGATATATAACATCATGAGAGAATATAGATAGGTTGGACAGGAAGAAATATCTCCCCCCTGATCAAGGACTTAATGTCAAAGGCTGGGGGAAGTGGAATAGATTGAAGGTAAGGGGCAGGATGTTACCGGGGCGTGGTGAGGAAAAGCTTTTGTACCCAAAGTCTGTTATGGAATCATGAACTCACTGCCTGTAAGAGTTGGAGAGGCAGAAACCCTCATCACATTCAAGGAGTATTTAGACGTGCACTTGTGATGCGAGAGCTATGGGCCAAGTGCCGGGAAATAGGATTAGAGAATCGAGAGGTGGTTGATTTTGACCGATGCATCCTTGATGCGCTGAAGGGACCTTTTTTACTGTGTTGCAGACCTCTACGATGGTATTACTCCAAGCACATTTCAGTCCAGAGGACCGATTTTCCCATTTAGCAAATGACAAATGGTCCTAAAATGTGAAGAAATGTCCATGTTCGAGATGGAAATATTGATGTGAAGTTTGGATGCCAACAATAAGGTTAAACATTGATCTACCTTCCCATACAAATTGATGATGAAGCAATAGACCAAGTAGTTGGCAATGCACATCATTCCTTCTTTTGAATCCTTTCTGCTCATTTCTCAATTCCATGAAACGATTTGGCTGAACATAAAAAGCTAATCATTGAACTAATGTCTAGTGTGGACCACATTAACTTTTGATGAAGTAAATTCCTGAAACTGCATTAGGTGAGCAGGGGCCTGTATCAATGTATGGTACAAATAAATAAATTAGACATGGTTTTAAGTGGAATTTCATTTAAGCCTACTTTGTGGGTCATCAGCCCTTCCTCTCTTGCCCTGTCAGTTCTCCAGGGGACTTTTGCTCATCAAAGAGTTCTTTGTCATTTTGCTCTGCCCAATAATTGGGAAACAGCATTTTCCATTTTAATAATGACCAGCATTCACAAATATACAATGAACACTGATATTGGATTCTGGTTGACAATGTTGAAATGCTGACACAGTGGACCACGACTATTCACTTTATACATTCCTGATCTGGACGAAGGAACTGAGGGCATTGTTGCTCAGTCTGCAGTTTGCACAATGATAGATGGAGGGGCAGGTACTGTTGAGGAAGAAGGGACATTGCAGAAAGACTTAGACAGGCTAGAAGTGGCAGATGGAATACAATGTGGGAAAGTATGAGGTTACGCACTTTGGTAGGAAAAATTGAAGCATAGTCTATTTTCAAATTTTTAAGCACAAAGGGACTTGGGAGTCAGAGTTCAGGATTCTCTTCAGGTGAACAGGCAGATTCAATTGGCAGTTAGGAAGGCAAATGCAATGTTAGCATTCATTTCGAGAGG